ATTCGGGTGAAATTTTCCTTATAGTGTTGTTCATGAGTAAACTCCAATATTTAACTACAAGCGATGCTGATTCAAGCAAGGTTTCTCAGTCGCAAATTCACACTCTCAAACTGAGCGAGTGATTCAAGGCACGGATATTGCTTTGTTTACGTACGAGAATTATCTCGTACGTTTAAACTGAATCCATTGTGCAGATCAGTGCATCTGAATTAAGTTTGAAGTAAAGAGATAATTGATGAGCACATTTCGTATGAGAAAACATTGAAGATTTGGTTCCATCGAACTATTCGCTGAGTGAGGTGCTACTGAAAAGCACATTGGACGCGTTCATGAAAGGTGAGGGTAAAACGGTTCTGCGACCAGATAAGATTAAAACAATGTGGATACACTGGCCACCTTCGGAATCAATCGCAACCGGTTATCGACATGTTGAATTGGATTCGACCAAGAATTTCTTCTTCCATCCTCGTTATTGGCTATATGTAGGCATTCAGTGTTTTTGCTCTCATACGATCAATATTTGAAAAACATTGTTCTTCGCTCATGAAACTTTTTTGCAGTATTCTCTAACTGAAATCCTTTTATCAGTGGAATTTACGCTTGTGTCATAGAAAGTGTAACCACTAAGCAAATTGAATTCATTTTCACAAAATAAGTCCTATTTTCAGAAGGAAAAACCGACTGCGAAACGCCGAAAGGTTAGCGTCATCATTTTAGTCAACTATGAGAGTCATATAATCCATACTCATTTTAAGATTTGGAAGGATTGCATAAAGGAATTCAGAGAACAGTTTCAAAAGATTCTGAAAAGCGTGGAATGTCAGTCATTAAGTTTGCGAATGATATTCGTTCAATAAGCTTGAAGGAACAACTAGGGATGGGTTGTGAACCGCGACGCTGGGAGCTTCCCTTGGATAATTTTAGGGGATTCGTGAGCCTGNATGTTACTGCTACCAATAATATCAGTACTCATCCGAATAACGGAAATAAAAAGCCACCTTAATGAAGTATTGGATAATTGAAGGTGTTTCGCAATGCACAAGCAACGATTCGACCGAATTTAACTCGTTTCGATCAAATCTTCCGTGAACGTCAACAAGCCGTCCAAGCGCAATTGCTTCAAGCCGAAAAATCATTCAGAAAGTTTATCAAGGATGAAAACTTAACCGATATTTATGACAGACTTAACATATCCATTGTATACGATAGAGTTTTTGCTGACTGCTTTACGGATATTATTGATCCGATGATGGATCGGCCAATCAACGAGCAGTCTCTACATCCGTATTGTCCGACGTCAAGTGTTTGTCAAGTACCACGTCTGGTTGGTGTTGAATGTACTCTTGCACATTCACACCATCGTGCAAATACCTTTCGAAGCTTTCGCATTTACGATATTCTCTATCGATCTTTCCGAACAGTTCACAATGGATGCATTCACGTTTAAAAATTCCAATGATATTTTGCTGTTGATATGATATGATATGACGGTTTATTGCCGAGTGTATACCATTATGTTCGTTGCATAAATTGATATTTTGAAATTGTCCCTAAGAGTTTTCAATTGCATGAGATTAATGATTTCAAAAATAAATAAATGAATAGCTAAAAGCAGTGTATTCATGCTATTTAATGGACGCCGAGAACCCAAATGTTTCAAAGGAAAGCTTCTAGAATGATGAGGCAATAGCTATTTCTGAGCAGTTCGTTTCGTTGCCGAATAAAATCAATTTTTAAACGATATTTGTGATGGAAACTTCAATTGAATTAAAAGAAAGTTGCATGAAAAATGCTCATTTTGTTCATGTGAATAGTTTCAGTGATTTTGCATCACTGAGAGCGATCGTTTGGTTCGTTACTATTGACCTAGCGATTTCATCGCTTGTAATGTGTCTGTTTGCTGACAAT